CAGTTTCAAGGGGACTGTTTAGTACCTGTTTGGTACTAAACCTGTTTGGTTTAGACTGTTTGGTACAAGAATAGTACCATATTCTTGATATTAAGCAAGTAATGCCAAGAACTCAAACCCAGCAGGTAACATACTTTTCTTTGTTTTTCAGTGAGCACTGAATAATCTCATTTTTCATTTGTTTTGAACCACAAGTTTCATATGCACACACAGAGAAAGCTCTAAAACAAACTCCCAAGCCTTACAGTACATACTGTGTGCTCAACACACACGGAAGTGCTTTTTGCTGTGTTTTTACCAAGAGGCTTAATGGATGACAACCCTGCTCCTTGCTGGGACAAACTCTGTCAGAAACAACCACCAGGCCCTCTTCCCTTTTTCCAGGTAAAAGGATTTGAAAAGGCAAAGCAAGAAAACTGCTTTACACAATATGAAGCACCACTCCTTCTGGTGCTTACACACACAGAGTGACTGTCTTACCTGAGCTTGGACAACTACCACTACCTTCACTCCATACTCACTCATGTACGGTTACACACACACATGATCATAGCAGGACTCTGCACAGTCTTTTGGAACTTTGACAAGTATACCAGCAAAAACTCCACAACCTTACATGAATATTAATTACCATTACCATGGTTTCTTTACTGACATGCAATGGACCTTGGAGAAGGCTGGACATAGTGCTGGACTACTGGCTCCAGGTGGCCTGGCTTGAACAAAAGCTCGGCCAGACGACTCCCTTCATTCCACAACCATTCTGTCAAGTCTTTTTTTCCCTTTTATTTATTTATGTGTAAACCCCCCCAAACCCTGCAGTACTCTGCTAGAAATTATAGTAATGATATTTTCTGAATTCGAAGTAAAAAAAAAAAAAAAAAAATTGTGCTTTATTTATCTAAATAAAATCAAATGTTTGATACATCATGTGGAGTCAAGTTTAATGTTGGGTACCAGGAAATACTATCTGAAGACTCACTTAAGAGCACTACTGGCAAGGTCATACCTGTCCTCTAAAACTAAGTTTGTTTTAATTCTACCAGCTCAAAGCTGCTTTATTCAGCTATATGAGTTAATTCTTGCACTTTTTTCCATATTACGCACACATATATTCAAGTCTAGGCTCTTCTACAAATAAAACTCTCGATTATTGTCAGTGTTTTCATTCCATTGTGTAATCTTGTTTGTCTTTTGATGTTGTAATTTCCTTATTTCACAATGTTTAAACCACATTGCCTGCAACTGTTAATAACTAATGATTTTGAGAGTCAATTAGGAAGACTTTAAAAATGTGTGATTAGGCAATTCATTTTAGTAATGTTACAATAACCTCATTTGATTACTTTAAATTAGTGTTGGTGCATATGCACTTTGGCAAAATTACAGTGAGGTTTAATCTTCTCTCCTAAATAACAAGCTTACCTGGCAGAAACACATGGGCTACGGAATCCAAACAAGATTGGGGAAACAAAGTCCACGTTCACGTGGCAAAATTTACTATAATACCTTTCCTGAGGTTCAGGCCACTTCCTGAAATCAAAGTAATTTAATTCCTGAACAACATTAGAGATGGACACAGATCCATGGCTCTGTTTTCTCCCATCCTCACTTTCCGCTACTCCCACCCAGTAGCTGCTCCAGTAGGATGGCTTCACAAGGGCTTGTGGATCTCCTGCTCTAGAATTAGGAGAAATGTTGTAAAGTATCAGAGACACAGCATGAACTACAACTATGGTTAGCCACAGCGTGATAAACGTGTCATTAAAACAACTATTCCAGTGTCTGTGTCAAATTCCAAGTTGATGTCCAGTCTCCTAAGCAGTAATACTTCAACCCCTATTCCATTTTATGTAACAATTTTTAATGTACAGACAGCTTTTAAAGTCTTCATCTTTCTTCACCCTCTATTTGGTTAGACGGATCCATCTCCTCTGACACAGAAGAAAAGTCTTCTGGTTTGTTTCCATTAGGAAGGTGGATTAAGATTGATACAGAAGATGACATCAAGTCTAACAAAGGTCCTTAATTAGGGCTGAAACTGAAGAAGGCAAGAGACAGAGACCTTGACTATTCCAACCCCCCATGTCATTTGAGAAAAATTCCACCAGACCAGGTAGCTCAAAGCCCCATCCAACTTGGCCTTGAGCACTTAGAGGGGTGGGCCATATACAGCTTCTCTTAGCAACCTGTGCCAGTGCCTCACAACCCTCACAGGAAGAATTTCTTTCCTGTCTTTTCTAATCTAAATCTGCCCTTTGACAGTTTGAAGCCATTCCCCTGTTGTCCTATCACTCCATCCCCTTGTTAAAAGCCCCTCTCCAGCTCTCTTGTAGCACCTTTAGGTATTGAAAGGTGCTCACCCAACTTGTCAAGGGTGCACTCAATCCCACTGTCCATGTTGCCGACAAGATGCTGGAGAACATTAAACTGACACCAGTATGCACCTAACTCCTTGAGATGTGGAGGAAAGACCATTAAGGTGGGACCCCCACAGTACCTCTTGCCACAAATACAGATTCCTTTTTGTAACTAAGACATGAATAAATTATAGCAAACATTTTAATTCCTTAATAATGCTTTAATCAAAAGCTTTAAGAACTCTATCTGGAAATACAAGTAATTTTTCCTATTCCTATTTATATCTCTCTAGTAATTTTAAAGGACCTTCAAGCAAGGGACTTTGAGATAATCTGCAGTAGGGCTGCCTGTAAACTCCAATATGCTGATCAGCTGAATATCAGACCTTTTTGGAAAAGCTGGCTCATGAGATGTGACTAAGACGCAGCTATTCCTGAACTAACTTTTCAGTGAAAACAGAGATAAAAGATGGGGTTCCAAGCAGAGATTTGAATCTTCCTACTGCACAAGGTTTATTTTTAAGGATCTCCTGTCATTGCTCTCACTGCTCTGGCTGTCATTTGTTGAAATACCAAGGGCAATGCTGCTAGGATTTGAGTGTGGGCTGTTGCAGTACTGCAATTCTCGGGAAAGGAGTGAATTAAAATCTCTCACATTAAACAATAATGCTCCTACATCTAGCAGGATTTCATAAATTTGTTACAGATTATCCTAATACAGGTTTAGACTCTTGCCTATACAAACACACTGTACAAATTATTACCTTGGTCCTCTGTAAATGTCTTACAGTTGTTCATATAAGACATGAATACAAGAAATATAAGCAAAAACATGTGAGCAAACTGATAATTCAGCAGCAGTCACTGAAAGTTATACTATTTTAAACTCTTTATATTACAAAGAACCAGCATGGAAATAGTTAGCATACATTATCTAAAATTTCTCTTGAGAACTTAAACATTAGTGATCTTAATCTAGCGGCATTGCTTGTATGCACTAAAAACAAATAGCCAGCTTTTACTGGCTGAAATCCTATACCATTTAAATTAATTCTTCTGACACTTCGGTGTAGCTTGGGAGTTCATTAAGTGGTGTAGAAACATTATGGCTAATGTGACCCACCCTCAACAGAAGTCAAGACTTATTCACAACCTATTAAAGGACCAGTCTGTTTTTTAAGTACACCTAGAATTTCTTTTATAGAATACGTTTTAGATTATTTACATAGGATGAATACAAAGAAAGGGAAGAGATGCTCAGATGGAGGATTTTTGGTGCGGGCCAGCGTACAGCAAACTGACTGGTCGCTATCCAAGCCCCTATTTACCTGACTAAAATAACCTCTATAACATACAGTCTTTCACAACAGCAAAACAGATGTCAGAGGTTGGAAGTTAATCTGGTTTTAAAGAATTCCACTTCTGAACAGTATTTTTCATTTAAACTACAGTAATCTCCCCTTAGGGAGAAAAAAGTTGGTAAATGAATGTTGAATCTATGAAAATTTAAGTAATATATCATTTTCCAAGGCACTACAGAGTAATGTCAGATTGCACGCATCTGTACGGAGCTGATGATCCGCACGGTTAGATTCCAATCCATAGCAGAAATACAGTTAAAGTATCTGGTTGTTGAAAGCTCTCAAACAAAGTACCACTAAAGTTTCCAAGCCTTAAAAATATCCTGCAGTAAACTAAGTTTTATCTGCAAGGTTAGATCTCATTAACAACCTTGCAAATGCAGACAGATCTGAAATTCAAACTTGTCAAATGAATAACTGCATCCCACAGAGCAAGGTCAAATATTGCTCCAGCTTTTAAATTAATATTGTATAGACTGTGTCTTCCTTTGAACCTGATTTTATATTCTACAGAAATATGCTACCTATGGCTTTTAGAAAATCTGATAATCAAAAATGAAAGTCCAGTAACAGCTTTATGTATTTTAGATTACTTTCCTACAGAGATTGGAGATTTTCCTTTTACATTGACAACTATGTCTACTCTCTGGAATTACTACACTTTAACTTAAGTCTCTATGTATTATTTTATGTGCTTCTTATGATTAATGATTCGTTACTGACATAGTACAGTAGCTGAGTATTTCCAGATGAGTATTTATAGTATTTATAGTAGCTGAGTATTTCCAAAACAATGGAAAACTCACATCAACATTCTTGGATGATGTAAATAATTTGCTATGTAAACTAGACTTATGCTGATCAGCATACAGGAAAGCATCTTATTTAATTTAGCTGTAACTTTCATTAATATACTTCTTTAAAACCTTATTGCCTACATAAAGTTAGATATTTTTCCAAGGATAAATTTCCCAGTTTTTGGCATTGCTATTATTTTTCTTCAGCTCCACATATAATGTCACCAACCACTTAAAGTCATAGAGAAAGGAACATTACAAAAATTCAAGCAACAAATAGACAATAGAAGTTAAATCCCACACAAAGCAAAAAAAAAACCAACCAACAGTGGGCTGCATAAAATAGCAGCAGTCATATGCTTTCAACTATGTCCTGCTGTACAAGGGGTAAAATGCAGTCATAACCAAACGCATTTTTAAATAAAGAAGTTGCTCCTGGGCACAAACACATCCACTGGCTTACCAAAAAGAAATGGACGTACCTGCAGAAACACGGGGGCAATCTGGCAGCATGGACTCCACTGAAGTGTCCAGGGGCTCAGAGCTGGACACCCAATTACAGCAGTTCTGTAAGAGCAGGCAGCAATTTTGGGGTAAGTCAAAAATTCAGAGCAAAAATAAATACAGACATTGTAAGTAAGGACAATGACCACATCAAAATACTCTAATTTACATAGCAGTCCAAGTGGGACTGGAAAGTACACTACATCAGTTTATTCACACTTACAATCATTTAAATAGTATAGCTTCATACCAAATAAGGAAAGAGTAAGCCCATAATTCAGGAGATTTGTAATGTGCTTAAACAGCATGTCTCTAAGTGCTACTCTGAGCGCTAATGGACTTGAGGAGGTGCTTGGAGCAACCAGTGCCTGAATCACCCACCATACACTTTAAGCTTTTCCTTTCTGCAGCTTTTAAATAGGTGTTGATATAAACACTGAGCCTGCTCTCTTGCCAAAATTAAAGAATCAGAAATTCTTCCGGATGTTTTGATGGAGTACACTGTGGAAAGAATGTTTGTATAATCATGCAACAACATCTTATAACTGAACAGAAGCCTTCAAGATAGCAGATTAATATTCAAATAATTGGAAATATAACTGAGATGAATTGTGCATGAACATTTAAAAAGGCAAATACTGGTCTTTGGGGAATTATATTCAGGAAGCATTTACATTTACTTTCATTCTTGAACCTCTGAGTAGGATGAATTTGCCATGAATTTTGTAAATCTTTTCCTCCAAATGCTATCTATTCAAAGTAGTCTATGAACTAAAATATTAAATAATATGCTTTTAATAAAATATGCTGAAACTACATCAAATCCACAGAATTGAAGATTTAATTTTAAAGCAACTACATTTTTAATAAGATTAGCAGCTGAACAACAAGACCTACGTGGCTTCCCCTGTTTCAAATCGGAATTTTCCCTTTCTGAAAACCCGATTAACTTCATTAAGGGGGGAAGGAAAAGAACCTGCATAACTTTTTGGAAAGATCCAATAAATTTTCAGACAGATTTCTAAAAAATCATACCATCAATCATGACAGTAAAAATGGACGACTTTTATTCTGGTAAACAAGCATGTATTGTGCATTTCTAGATGCTTGCTGCCCTAGTTGTGCACCATGGAGTCCGTCCTCACTGTGGAAAGATCCTTGACTGGTAGATCAAGTGTCTTATTGTATTTCCTTAATTCATTCTGTCTGGAAGAAGATGTCAGCTGTGTTGCAGTGAGAAGAGAATTTCAAAGGCTTCAGTCCCCACCAATAAAGGGCAAGGAATGGCTTTTGAATAGATTTGTCAAGGCAACCCTACTGTTCTGGGACCAGGGAGAGCAGGAACAACATAAAGGAAGGGTTGCTGTATGAGATTAGAAAGTGAAGTTCACAAAGCATGGCAGATTTTTGTAAGAAACAGTAGATCAATGAAACTATTGAACTCACTAGAAAAAAAAAAAAAAACAACAAACACACTATTCAGTAATATAACTTTTTTAGTAAAAAATGGTTAAAATGGAAGTATTTCACAAAGGTTTTCAGGTTTAAAGTAGGAAAGTATTATACATTTTTACAATTTGCATGTATAATTTTAATTAACAGCTGAATGTGAAATTGCAAATGTAAGATGGTAGAAATTATAAAAGAAGTAGAATTTTTATGAAGTATTACAATAATTTGAAATAAGTAAAATTAATATTAACTACTGATAGAACACTACATCAGAGAGCTGGAGATAATACAGAAGATTAGCACACAATTAACTAGCTTTTATATACAATGTGACACTTGCCTGTAAGAAATAAGTATTCTCGAAAGCAGTGTCAAGATATGTAAATGGATGATTTGTTTTATCATTCATCACAGCTCCTAATAAATTCAAAAATCATGACTTCTATAGGTACTAAAAATAGGCCAGCAATGATACAGGAGAGATAGCTCCAATGAAGAATTACTTTTTTAACAATTCATTCTTTCAATGACAGCAATTAGCCCTACAGACAGGCAGCGATTAGGTGTATATTTTAATTATTATTCATTTTACCAGTAGCCTTAAACCTGATTAAAGTAAGAGATATCCAGGTGATACGCTAGTCTTAATACCACTCAGCCACATTTCACATATGTAAAATTCTTCTTTCTTATAGGAGATTTTTAATGCTAATGTAAGTTATGACACTCCATCCACTTTTTAGGCCATTAATCATTTAACGTATTCTTTAACATCTACTTTCTGCAAATGAAATTAAAGGTAATGCACTTGTCTTATTCAGACTAAATGCTTAAAGAAAAATGGAGTTGTCAGATTCAAATTACAGGATTTAAAATTTCAGTTTTACTACATAACACATATTTTAAGGTTTTGATTTCCCATAAAGAAAAATGGGGATTTCTCTGACAAAGCCTACAGGGATTACCATTCTTTATATTTTTAACATTTAAGTCAGAACTGTCAGGTTGCATCCCAGGTGATTCTCTATTCCCATCAGTCATGGCCTATAAAACTTTAAGGTTAAGTCAGGAATAGGCACTCTATACACAAAGTTTCACTAAATCCATGAGAAAAAGTCAAGTCTAACAGAAAGTTCAGGATGCAACTAGTTTAAATTTGCTCTGTGCATCTATTATTTTAGTGTTCTGCCATGGGAATGTAGAAAAACATAGAGATGAGCCTGACATGGTGAGGACAAGACTCATAAAGAGTAGTTTAGTTGCTCTCCCTTAAAAAAATATGATTTTTAAAATGTCAGTACCCCATACTTCAGTATGAGAGCTTCTAAGCACTACAGAAGTAATTACATGTCATAAAACTGCTGAGAGAAACGATACTTTGCCAGCTGTGCAAATCATCAAACTGAGTCATGAAGAGCTTAAAAGGGCTTTTCCACCACTGCCAGATCAAGCCAGGAACATGGAGTGCACCCAGGACTTTGGTCCAGATATCAGGCACTGCACAGACAGCCTTAGTATGTCTCTATATTGTCATGCAGCAGGAAGAAACACTGGACTTAGCTCTTATTATTTTGACTGCTCACTTTGAAGTTCAGAAATGGCTTTAATCTTGGCTATTTTAGGGGCTGGTATGGATATATGATTTCCTCAGTCCTCTAATGTGCTGTCTTTCACGTGCAAAAAAAATAGAAAAGGTCAACAGAAATGGACATCTTTAGTGAGCCACATAGGGACGTATATACTCTAACTCTTAAAAAAAACATAGGCCTCACCTCTCGCATCCACTCTCGAATTGTTTTTCCAACTTCTTGATGCCACACATTGTGAACTGAGTCTGTCAACGCCACAGCAGTTACCTTATTCTTTACTTCTGCCTCTCGTTGAATCATCTGTTAAAAAATATTGGATTAAAATTCATTCCTTCTATTGAATAGAGTCTGCTTAGTCAGAGATAATGATCTTAAATTAAAGAAAGAAAGAGCACTACAGAATCAGTACTTGACTTCACTTGTTTTAAAGTTTATACAAATCCTAACAGCTCTAGAAACACCTAATATTTTTGATAAGAGAAATAATACTAACTTTTAACTGACTGAACTATTCAGTCCTATTATTTTCCATGTGGTTTGACAATTCTAGGATTAAAGGTATCATAGTGAAAAAATGGAAGATTCCCTGAGGACACCTTTTACAAGCTTCTCCAAGTTCCTATTTCAGTGCTTCAGGGAAGCTGGTACCTGTGGTTCACTGTAAGCTACTCATGACTATCATCTACTAATTTTCAGTAGATTGCTGTAGTTTTTCTGATGTAGAATCTTACTTTGACTTGGTTTTTTTTTTTTTTTTTTTCTTTTTCTATCCAATTTGGCTATCTTGCACTCACACCATGGTCCCAAAATTCTTTGTGGTCTCTCTTATACATATGCTTACCCAGCTAACACTGAAGCCTCTCAATATTTTTAGGATATTAAAGAGCCTCTGTTGTTGTAAATGACATTATGTCTGAATAATATCAGTTCTAAAATCAATTAAATGATTGCTGCAAATAACACCAGCAAACTGACAAAGATGCTGTGGAATTCAGCACTGCTCTGCAAGATAAAAGGGACTGGAAAAGAATAGTTTGATATGAAAGAGAGACAAAAAGGTTTTAGTCTCCTGACATGAGTGACCCTAATTTGTAACACTGGATCAAAGAAAGCATAATAAATTGTACTTATAACACCAGCATTTTGCAACAAGTGTCTTTATACTGCGTATGCACTAAAGTTAATAGGGTTTTTTAAGCTTCCTTTTGTATAAATGCAACACACACAACATTTCCAAAACCAGGTATTCTTTGTTCACGCTCTAATAACTGCTTATCAGCATACAGGCTGTACCTCCGAACCCTCTGTTCCATGTCCTTGCCATAAGAGTGGCTCCAAATTCTTACCAGACAAGAAGTTCTTTGAAAAAGACCATATATAAAAAGAAGACTTGTCAGCAATACACACCCCACTTGCTTTAAACCCTGCTGTACATCAAAATAAGTTTTTGAAACACACTGTACGTACTAATACTCCTGTTCCAGTGCTGTGCATTCCAGCACTCATTTGGCTAAAACACTGATCTAAACAGTAAAGGTGCAAAAATTTTACTGTTCTTGAAACCCGCATACCTATCAATTATTTGGAATTATTATAAGCAAGAGGAAGCTTAAAATCATCACCAGTTCATACTTTTCTAGTATGACTTCTTCCATGAAGGGTTGGTATTCAGAAGCACTTCTAATGACCATCAAAGTTAAAAAATGTGTTCTGCTTTGGGAAAGCAGTTTTCTCTCAAGCTATTGTCCTGTATTTCTGTTTCAAAAACTAGTCACCCAGTTCATCAAGAACATCACCTTTTTCTTCAAATCCCAAGAAAAAACAAATGAACAGTTCCGTTTTTCCTTTCTAGATTTAGCTCAGGTTTGCTATTCTTAATTTCCCTAAGCACATGGAAGAACTGGCAGCCATTGATCACCATCTCTTCCTTCTCTTTCTTCATATGGTACATGCAGTCTTTGCTTTTCAGACCATATATGATATATAGGAAATAATATGCAATACCCAACATGCTCCTGGTGCTTGCAATTCAGCTTTGAGGATGCCTGCAGAATGGTATTCTCTTCATAAAGATCAGCAAAGAGACTGAGACTGACAATGCGATGTTTTTTGATAGCTCAGCCACAGTGCTAAGGTCAGGATAAGGTCTCACGGATGCAGCAGCAAAGAGGGATCGAAGGGATTAACTGAGCTTTAGTTACAGATTTTCTTACATCCAGCCCAGAAGAAATAAGTTTTGGTAGGCATCCATGCCCTTATGAGTCAACTTAGAAAGAAAGAGACAAAAACAATACATCAAGTGGGGAAAGGATCAAGGCTATAACCTTCACTTAAACAACTAGTCTAACGTGTCCATCTTTAAGTGACACAGAAATGTCACAACAGAGTATGTCAAACCTAGGACACTTTAGCTTCTATCAGAACAGCTCAAGCTTCCTGCTACAACAGGACATTCACTGATAATAATAATCAAGGAGAACAGATCCAGTTTAAGCTTAAGAAACAGACCCTCTTATCAGGGATGATAATTTATCTAGCAAGAAGACACAAGAAGCCTATGTGCTTTTGGTCATAGATGCTTCAATACTCAGCAAAAGCTAAAGATTGAATGGATGGATAGCTCACAGTTAAAACATACTTATCTTTTCTAAAACCAGTTTTGAATTAATACAGATTTTAAAAATTAAGTCAGCAGAATAAATTTGTTAGAGTAAAATATATTCACATTGAAAAAAAAATGTAGCACCCAGCTGCCATTCAAATTTGATATAAATACAGAATTGTTCCAGATTCCAAGAGAAGGATGATATGGGATGCAAAATTCACAATTCACAAGACTAATTTTATTGCATGCAGTCTGTACAGTCTTTTGAGGCGAACATAATAAAACTGAAGATATTTAATAGACCACAGGCTACTAAAAGTAACAAAAATTAGGAATTTTTTTCAGAATAAGGTTTTTTTTAGTGAAACAAAGGCCTACAGATTTTGTCTGAAGTTCATTTTATGCCTTATACTCTTTGTATATTAGTAAATTTCATAGAGAGGAGGTTTTCACAACCTAGGAATTATTTAATTTCCTGCTCAATGCCCATTTTCAAACCTTAAATTATTCTTAGCTGAATAGATTTTGTGAGAAGACATTTCTCTTTGAACTCCTTCATTGGATGGTTTACAGCTCCACTCACTCTGTCATTACACTCCTTCTTCCAATAATTCCATTACTTCCAGAAGTAGGTAAGCTGGCACTTCTCTGTTATGTAAACTGGTTCTCCTGTATTACCACATCACTCAACCCACCACTCTGGATGCTTTAGAATTTCCCAACAATTTCCTCTCTGTAGGCATTTCCATTTTACCTTTGCTCTTGTATTCCTCTTTGTAGTCATAGTAAAGTTTGATTTTGTAACTTATTAACCATATATCAACACTATGTCTTTTGATTCCCTTAGAAGGACAAGTTATAGACCAGTTTTCACTGAAACAAGAAGGCATTCAAGCATCCTTTTCAAAGTCTTCTCTATACCAGTGGTTGAAAATTAGTTCCTTCACTTTGGAAGGGAAAATGTCAGTTACCTAGTTGCAGAAGTGTTCAGCTCTAAGTTATATAAGCAAGAACTTGAAATTCCCTAAAATGCACTCCTTAAAGTATTAGATAATAATTACTTATTTATTGGTCAAATTAATAAGTATTCTACTGCTAATCTGTCTGTAAAGTCAGAGAGCAATCCTCTGTAAGTTTATACTACAGTTATCATAACCTTTTCATGACAAAAGGATGATATCTTTATTATCTGTGGTGTATGTATATAAAACAGCCTCATACATACAATACATACACAGCATATTTAGCATGTATATATAACTGGCACAGATGATAAAATATACCTTTGGTATATATTTCATAGTGTAACACCCTTGTCAAATGAAAGCATCCTTGCCATAACAGTGAACTCAGAAATCTGATCTTGCAAACACGAACATCTATGATTATCCCAATTAGACTTTAATTCTAAAGCCTGTCAGAGTAAATCCTTGCAGCATTGATTCCATACCCTTTATATCTATTCTAACAGGTATTTAAAACAGCTAAAAATTAAAAATTCTGAGAAAGGTAAAAGGAAGTTAAAGCATTATTTTATTTTTAGGTGTTTGTTTTTACAGGCTCAGACAATCAAATCCACAACCATTACTTCATACTTGGGGAATACTTACTCTTCTGAGTTGCTTATAATTAGCCATGAGGAAAAATGGATTGAAAAATAAACAAAAAATGTGCCCAAATTTTAATTCCCCTAAACTTTTGAAAAAAACTTTTTAGCTACTTACTCTGTCTTCCCTTGCAATTTCAGTCATGGCATATTGTCTACATGGTATGCACTGAGCTTTAGCAACCATGTTGACAGTAAGCATTTGGCTTGGAGCAATATAATTTTGATGCAAGTTCCTCCATCGTTTCTAGTTCCATCATAGGGGTTTGAAACTTTAAGATGTTTTGGCATCTGCAAACTCAATTCCTTTTACAGGAAACAACTAGAAATGCATGTCCAAATATTCTCCACAATTTCCAGAACTGTAATGAGTTTGCGGAAGAAATTCTGATGGATTAAAACAGCATCAGCTGGACACTGCAGTATTTGTAAAAGCAATGGTAGATGGGAAGAGAGAAGAAATCACGTGACAAGAATGGTGTGCAAGAGAACAATTTTTACTTAGCACTTTTGAAAAGACTTGCAGATTCTTTCTTGGTAACTTCAGTGCTCTCCTTGGAGCTTGCTACGTGTCTATAGTCTTCCAACGTGCCCTTCAGCCCTCCTTTAACTAATGTCAAGTAACTGGTCTCTCTGAATGGCAGCACTTGAACCTCTCCTCAGCTGAGAAAAATTCTTCACCAGGAAGTATGTAATTATGTATGTCTGTAGTTCAAGTTTGTTGGTCTGGGATTCCCAAGACCTTTCACTGCTTCCTGAATAGAATTCCTGAATTTCTGAAATAATCTCATGTTTTTGCACATCTTTAAAGGGAATTAGATCCTAAAGCCCTCATAAAATATTAAATTAGGGATTAGAACTACTGAGCAACTACACTTGAACAGCACAAAGCCAAAGTAATAAATAATCCAAAGTTCCACTAGTTCTCATTTTCAATTAGCAACAACAATAAATTTTCCTAAATGAATTCACATGTGATAAAATCCATGCTTGCAGTAGACAAAGCCTCTGATATATAATAGTTTTTAAACAGTGAAAGAAGACATCTGCGCAGATACAATCACAGAACAACCACAGACAAGTATTTTC